ATTATATCGTGCATCCCTAGTAGGTAATAAATCATTCAAGGACTCATCTGATTGGTCAAACAGCCGTCTGCCAAAATGAATCCTGGCTTTGAACATGTGACCGGATTAAGCCACCCCCGGATTAAGCCACCCCCTCCCCCGTCACCTCAGGTGACGGGGGAGGGGGTGGATTTGAGGGTCTTCAGTTGAATGAACTGAGTGCGGTCAGAAAAATAGGAAATAAACCAGTCCAACGGAAGAAAGCCTGCTGAAAATCAAACATGTTTGTAATTCAGTCGGCCGTCAGGAGGTTGCATCAGAGCGTCCGCTCACACAGGGCGGAACATCCATCTTTAGGATTATACTTTGTAAAATAAAGAGCAGAGAGTCACATTACCATCAGAATCATGGAAATGATTCATAATCTGGGGGAATCTTCCGGGTTAGCTCTGTTGGGTTTCATCCGTGTATTCCAGCCCCTCATGGCTCCGGTCCAATCAGACGCCAACAGCAGCTGCCTGCTCTTTATTCTGGTTTTTCATGGATTTATCTGATCTTCTCTCCGGTTCTGTTGCAGCCTTCACGCAGCACATGGAGAACCATATCAGCACCCCTAACTTCCTGGGTCAGACCCTCCCCACACCGGCACCAACGGGACGCTACTCGCCAACGCCGAAGAGCATGCTTGGAGAAGACGACGTCACACGGTGAGGATGCTGACCTCCTGGTCAAAACGGGATCATTTAATCCTGGATCTTCTCAGCTTGGAGGTTTTCCTCAGCAGCAGCAGACTCATGTAGATGTCATGGAATAGATGCTGATCGTCTCTAAAGTAGAATAAAATAGAATTTATTGTCATCATCCTGCAGGACTTTGATAAACAAGGTCATTAAAAATACCAAAAACACAAGAACACACGACTTACAGACATGCCTGCAGAGCAAACCATCAATAAGCTGCTGGAGAAAGTTTGATTGTTATTTGGTCATTATTGACGTTCAGTATTTGCTAATAAATAAACCTTTATTCTAATAAAACATAAAAGCTTTTATGGCTTTAATTTGACTGATAACAGCAGTGAAGCTGATCTGGAAGCTTAGATCTAAATTTAATCGTATTTCCAGTCGGGATTTAAATGTTCTTCATTTTTACAGCCATGAAGGGAATTTTTCTGTCCTTAAAACATCCAAAATGTTCCAGAAAGGTTTGTCGGTGTCATGATTATCCTGTTCATGGATCACTGCAGGAGGAAGCTGCCAGTGTTTAAGATGTTTAGTTTTATCTGTTATTTCCTGTTTATTAGGGGTGTGCAAAATAATCGTGATGATGATGCATCGTGATTCTAATTTTCGTGATCTACTGCATCGATTCTTGACACCAAGAATCGATTATTAATTTAAAAAAATGCATAAATAAAATTGCATGAATGTCAGCCAAAAACAAGTGTAATACAACTTCCAGTTCAGTAGATGTCGATGCGGATGTGTTGACGCACGCTGCCTTGTGTCACAAGCATTTCCGGCCGCGGGATACTGCGCCGAGTCGTTCAAAAACAAAACATGGAGGAGAAAATATTGCAATGCATCGCAATAATTCAAGTATCGTGATGCATCATGATAGAATCGCATCGTGGCCTGTGAATCGTGATTCGAATCGAATCGTGACTTCTTTGGCAATACCCACCCCTACTGTTTATATAATATAAAATGAAGTATAATATCTTGGCCATGTGTTGACGGACCGTCTGTCTGGTGATGAGGACGTTTACCGTGAGCTTCCACTGTTAGATTCTGTTCTGATGAAGTGAAACTGAACTTGTTTAAGTCACATGGTAAATCTCTCTATGCTGCACATGTGGTGCAGCTTTAAAAAGGAAGTCTACAAAGACTGAAGGTGGTCGATGATGATGCATTAAGACCTGTTAGAAACCCAGATGGACCAGCGCCGCTAAACTGCTCGCTTCAGCACTTTAATGGCTGTTTTTCAGAAAGCATATGTATATAGTAATTGTTTTAACAATTTGTTAACATTAGTCAACAGAAGGGTCATTCTGTTGTTGTTTTAATGAGTTGAACAACAGAATGACCCTTCTGTTGACTAATGTTAATCCTAGTGCAGTAAAATACTCGCCTGGACTATGGAGACATTGGTATGGTTGTCCTTTGAATGGCTAGGACTCGCTTTTTATGTAATTGTTTTATGTAATTTGGACTGAGTCTATAATCAAATCCATCCATCATCCACTCACCGTTTCTATAATCTTTATATTTTGCCTATTAGTTCAGTTCTTTCTGTTTATTTTGCATTAAGCTTTATTAAAAGCAGGAATGTATTTCATGGCTGATAAGCAGCTGCTCTGCCCCCTGGTGGCTGGAAGCTGTAATAGTTTATCTGTTTCCTGAGATGGAAACCATCAGACCATCTGTCAGCGGTAGATGAAGACTTCCTCCCTTTGACCCCCGGCTGGTCGTGGCCGTTTGTTCCCACAGGGAGCCGAGGAAGGTGGTCCTGCACCGGGGAGCAACGGGCCTGGGCTTCAACATCGTGGGTGGGGAGGACGGCGAGGGGATCTTCATCTCCTTCATCCTGGCCGGAGGCCCGGCGGACCTGAGCGGGGAGCTGCGGAAAGGAGACAGGCTGGTGTCGGTGGGTGTTCTCCATCGGGACTCGGGTCGGCAGCCGCTCAGGTTTTCATCGCTTTAATAAACTGGATCTTCCTGCTTCCAGGTGAACGGCGTGGACCTGCGGAACGCAACGCACGAACAGGCCGCCGCCGCCCTGAAGAACGCTGGGCAGACGGTGACCATCGTGGCCCACTACAGGCCAGAGGGTGAGAGGTCCGGTTGTCTGTGTTCTGATCCGGTTAGAACCGCTCGGTGGCTGACCGGCCGTGTGTCTGTGCTCAGAGTACAGCCGCTTCGAGGCCAAGATCCACGACCTGAGGGAGCAGATGATGAACAGCAGCATCAGCTCCGGGTCCGGGTCCCTGCGGACCAGTCAGAAGAGGTCCCTCTACGTCAGGTGAGCCCACGCTGTCGGATCAGCGGAGGAGAGTCACAGCTGAACCCGTTTGACTCACCGCTGCTCTGTCCCTGCGCCTCAGAGCTCTGTTCGACTACGACAAGACCAGGGACTCGGGTCTGCCCAGTCAGGGCCTGAACTTTAAGTTCGGAGACATCCTCCACGTGGTGAACGCCTCCGATGACGAGTGGTGGCAGGCCCGACATCTGACGCCTGAGGGGGAGCTGGAGGAGGTGGGGGTGATTCCCAGCAAGAGACGGTGAGTTAACAGAACGCACGGAGACCCGGATCCCAGGGTTCAGATGGA